GACGGCTGGTAAGCAGAGGTCCTCCTGCTTTTTGCATCTCGGCTGGGATTCCATCAGGCCCTGAGGCTTTGTTATTTTTCATCTGTTTGATGGGAGTAGCTACCTCATCCAGGGATGGAGGATATCTGAGGTGGGTCAGCTCTGGATGCTGAGGGACCTGCTGGGTAGTCAAGACATCCTCATCGGTGTTTCGGTTGAGCAGTGAATGGTAGTGCTCTTTTCGGTGCTGAAGGAGGCCTTCATCGTCTTTAATTATGGAGTTACCCTCGGATGAACGGAGGGGGGCTGCGCCACGAGTGATTGACCCATAAAATGTTTTAGTGGAATTGAAAAATTCGCGCATCTTTTGCTGATCTGCAAATTTTTGTGCTTCACATGCTTTATTTTTAAACCAATCGTTCTTTAGATTGCGAAGTTCACCACTGGGCCACAGCTTTCTTCTTGTGGAAGGTATCAGCTTTGAACCGAGACTGAGGGTTGTTTGCCAGGCAGTTGAAACAGCACGTTTTTCATCGAATAGTCAATTGATTGCCTGGTCATTTTCATCAAACCATTCCTGGTGTATTCTTTCGATCTGGCCGAGGGTATCTCTGCAGCTTTTTATTATGACAGTGTCGAGAATATCCCATTCGGCACTGGGATTTGGGTTGTTTGTTGTTGGGTTGCTTATCAGCCCATGGTCGAGTTGCTCTCTGAAAGCATGTGCTACCGCTGGATCCTCCAGATGGATAGTGTTAAAACCTCTTCTGGAGGATTGCTGCCTTTACTGTTTTGGGGTGACGTGAAGTAATATCTTGGCTCTGACGAGCCGATGATCAGTGTCACAGAGGTCTGAGCCACGCATGGTTCGGGTGATGATTACATTTCGGCTTTTTCTTTCTCTGACAATGATGTAGTCAATGAGATGCCTGAACAGGGTATTGGTGATAGTGAGGTTGTGTGCAATACACTTGCTGAGGAGGAGTAGGCTGTTGGGATTACACTTGCCGAATCCATTTTTGCCTATGGCTCCCTGCCAAATGCCAGCATCTCTGCCAACTCTGGCATTGAAATCACCAAGGAGCACACAACCTTGTCTTCTCTGGGGATAGAGGTTAGCACTCTGTCGAGGTTGGCATAAAGGCCTCCTTGATATCATCCTCTGCATCCAGTGTTGGGGTGTATGCACTGATGAAAAAGGCACGACGTGAGTGATTCAGTGGGACTCGGAGCGTCATGAGCCGCTCATTGATCCCAATAGACATTTCAATTAGCCTATGTAGGATGCGTTGGCGGATGGCAAAGCCAACTCCATAACTGCAGTTTCTCTCCGCAGCAGGCTTACCCTTCCAGAAGAAGGTATAGCCAGACCCCCGTTCTGTGAGTTGACCCTCGTCTGGGAGCCGGGACTCACTAATGGCTGCTGTGTTGATGTTATTTCTTGCCAGCTTTTTTGTCACAAGAGCAGTTTTTCTTTCAGGACGCTCATTTGTGCTAGTATCCAGAAGGGTCCTGACTTTCCCTGCAGCGACCTAAGAGGTTGTATAATTTGTTTTAATTTGGATCTGTGATTATGGTTATGTTTTCGACCTAATAAGGATGACCTTACTGGATTCAGTTGCCAAGCTAGGTTGAATTTTTAGGCAGGGTATGTTTAGGGGCACCTTTTCTAGCCCCCCTTCCCATGTGGGGCGACTAGAGTGGTTCCTCTAAAGGGCTGCTCAGTTGTAGAGACAAGACTGTATTGCACTGCTGCTGTGATCTCAGTGCATAAATGACCATCTTATTTGTGCCACCGATGTGCAGAGTTGTGACTAGAGACTCCCGGCAGTCATCTCTGCCTGCCCCCGTCGCTACTCGTCTGTTGCCATAGGACTTTTGGGGGTATAGGGGTTTTGATGATGATGAGAGGTACGATGAGCCGGATGATGGCTGTACGTGAGTTGATTTATGTGATGAGGCAGGGGCGCAGGCTGCAACCAGGCATCTTGGCTCTCCCTTTTCCTGATCCACTGGTGCGAGTGTTGCAATGACTAGGGGGAGGCAGAGTTGAAATGGACTGCCGATAGCCCAGTTTGTTGGGTTTCACCTTAGTAGCCTGTCCATCATGCATTGTCTTTGTCCGCTGGTGTAGTCGTTGGTTTCCCATGGTGGTCATTTCTTCCGCCTATACATCCGTTGGGGTCTTGTTGAAGCTCTGTAAACATGTCTACCTGATGCGGGGCTCCACCGCAGATTTTTCGTTCGGGATTTACTCCCGTAGCCTTATACCTACCTAGGTTAATCCGCAAGGCAGCGGGGTAATGATTAGTAGGCTCTATGGCGTGTCCACATGCCAATGGGCCTATGCGCCGACCCTCTGGGGCCCACTGCTACTCCGACATCCCCTACTGGTCTAGCCTGGGCCCAAGAGGCACCCAGTTACCGTGTTACCACGAGGAGGTACAGCAGGAGTCTTGATGGTGAAGAAGCTGCGTAGTGGAAGGGGAAGACTTATGCAAGTTACTTCCCTGTTAGCCACGAGGGTTAGCCAGTAGTGGTAGCTTAAAGCGAGAGGATGCAAGCAGTGCTTCCACCTTAACTCTAACATAATGCTGCCACACTAGACACATTTCACCACCCTGTGTGCGAACACACACACACACACACACACACACACACATACACACACACTCACTCAAGATAATTAAACATTGAAATGAAATATAAATTTATAAATCACTAAAAGGGATATACTAAATTTGATCGAAAAATCTTCAAAATATTCCACATTGTAAATAAAATGAGAAGATTGTTTGGTCAGGGTTGTTTACTTGTCTGTGTACGGTTTAAATTTACGTATTATTATTTTTTTTTTTTCAACTTCAATAACTACATCTTTTCCTCCTCATCCAAATGCCGAATTTTGTTTCCACTTGTAGACAAATTTATCTAATTTTTTCTCATTCCTACACCTTAAACCACCAATAACACACCAAACTTCACTTCATTTCATTCCACCAAATTCTTCCCTTTCCCCTTAACTCACTCAGCCATCCGACCTGATTTCGATTCAGGGTCGTATTCTATATCCACACAGATGCAGAATATATCCAGATAATGACAAAAAAAAACAAGAAAAAAAGAAGGGGAACACAATGGACTCCCTCGGCAGAAATAACCCTTACGCGAGCTGGAATTACAAAAGTCGCGCTGGGAGTTGGAGGTTATGTTGAAGGGTTCTTGTTGACGTCGACAATGGCCGACACCAATTATAATGGTGTTTTTCTCTCTCGCCTCACAGGTCGTAGGCGGCAAGGTTATTGGGACTTGTTGAGGGACGGAGGAGGGAACGGTGGAAGGGCGGGTGAGGAGGGGGGGAACTGGTGAAGGAAAGGAGTTAGAGTGGCGAGGGAGAGAGAGAGAGAGAGAGAGAGAGAGAGAGAGAGAGAGAGAATGTTGGCAGCACTGCATGACCACCACCACACACACCTGGATATAATGTGGAAATGTGTTTGTATGATATAAGTGTGGAGAGTGAATGTTGCCCTGCACACATGTTCACACGCCAAGAGGATATGTATTGATGTTTGTTTTTGTGTGTTAAAGGGACACACACACACACCCCTACTACTACTTTCTTTCTTTTTTTACTTGGCCTCCATCCTCCCCCAATAGCCACACCTTCGCCGCCATTTTATTACCTTGAAATTAAATATCCTAATACATAAGTAGCTACCCTAGATGTGTTGAGTTAGTTGAGCCGCAAATCTATGTGGCATTCAGTGACTGTTGCCTCATAGTCAATATCTGCACCTGTTGTCGGCTTTGGGGCCTATGCTCTCGTTCCCCTGAGGCAGCAAAGCAGACCTAAGGAGAAAGAAGGACAGTCTACATCTCATCCAGGCTGTAACATAACTTCTGGGCTGCTGCTTCTGTTCGGATAGCACCTCTGCGAGTCTGGCGTAGAAGCATCTTGCACTTGGTCCCATCTCACCAGAGGTTGTGAACACCAGAGGAGTGAAGCTGCCTTGATCAACGTTCAGAATTCTCTCCCTGTGTGCCCTTATCTTGTCGTTCTCGTTCCTCCTTTGTGTAGCATCGAGAGCTAAGTTATGGTGACATGCAGCCATGGGATAAAAAATCCTGATGTCGAAGAAGGCTCGCTGTCCCCGCGTCCAGGATCCTCGAGCACTGATGTCAACACGGGCTTCGTTGGATGTGTTTGAAGTCCTATGTTGGAAATTCTCACCGTCCAATGGAAGGAGGGTCGGTTCTTCCCTGACATCACGACAGATTTCCTTCAACATATTTGCCGTGAGATCCCTTACTTCGTCATGCCTCATGCATATGAAGCCCTCTTTCTTGCACACCATGGTGTGATCGACATCATAGGAAGAGCCACATATGCATTGGGAGGGCAAACCTTCTACTGGCCTTCTACCGTACCTTAGATCAATGGCATCTGTAAATTCTTGTTTATTGAGACTGAAACCATTTGCCCTTATCAGTAACGTAGTTAACAAGTTTGAGTCGTCCACCTCCTCTGCTATAGCTACCTTTTTTTTTTTTAAGTTCTCTGGTACTTGCAGCATCAGTTGCTGCAACATATCACTTTGGCCGTGCTGTCGTTCTGTCGTAATGGACCGTCGAATCTTGTTTACTTCTCTAGTATCCAACTAACCTGTTGCGTTCTGAGCTATTATTTGGTCAGTGAGGGCTGCCGTGAGCTTAACTGAGTTTTGATGTTCGGTGGCAGCAATCTCCTCTGGATTGGTCAATCCCATTCCTCCCAGTCCCGGTGGTAGTGCAAAGAGTGATCTTTCTGCTGGGGTTAAGTCAAAATGTTTCCCTAATTTGGGAATGAAATTGACGCTGATAGCTTCTTCCAGAGGGTGGAGGAGGGGTCCGATATCAGGGATAGTGTGCATCAGGTACTTCCAGGGATGCTTGACTCCATGGGTGAATGCCACAAAAGCTGCATGTGGCTCTGTGTTAGTAATATCAGACAGAGCTTGGATTTCCTTAACCCATTCATTCACCTTTCCCATTCCATGATCGGTTTTGAAGTCCACCGTGCCGATTGCTGCGCCTAGATACCTTTGGCCAGCCTTTGTTATTTTGATCTCATTTCCACCGAACACCTCCATTGCCCGTTCATAATGTTCTGGCTTCACACTGAGAAAGGACTTGCTGGCATTTGGATAGTACCCTATATGTGGACCATTTGATGTTATCAGGTCCCACCACTTTTTGATGTCCACCACTTTTCCTACATTCTCCAGGAGAGAGTGGAGATGGCTTGTAAGCAGAGGTCCTCCTGCTTTATACACCTTGGCTGGGATTCCATCAGGCCCTGAGACTTTGTTATTTTCATCTGTTTGATGGCAGTAGCTACCTCATTCAAGGATGGAGGATAGCTGAGGTGGGCCAGCTCTGGATGCTGAGGGGGACCTGCTGGGTAGTCAGCACATCCACGTCAGTGTTTCGGTTGAGCAGTGAATGGTGGTGCTCTTTCCGGTGCTGAAGGAAGCCTTCATCGTCTTTAATTATGGAGTCACTGTTGGATGAGCCGAGGGGGGCTGCGCCTTGAGTGATTGGCCCGTAAAATGTTTTGGTGGAATTGAAAAATTCGCGCATCTGCTAATCTGCAATTTTTTTGTTTCACATGTTTTGTTTTTAAACCAGTTATTCTTCTTGCGGAAGGTATCAGCTTTGGTCCAAGACTGAGGTTGTTCTGCCAGTCAGTTAAAGCAGTACGTTTATCATTGGTGAGTATATTGATTATCGGGTCATTTTCATGAAACTTGTCCTTGTGTATTTTTTTGATCTGGCTGAGGATCTCTCTGCAGATTTTTGTCATGACAGTGTCGAGAATATCCCATTCGGTACTGGGATTTGGGTTGTTCGTTGATGGGTTGTTTATCAGCTCACTTTCTAGCTGCTCTCTGAAAGCCTGTGCTACCACTGGGTCCTCCAGACGCTTACGCCCATATTATTAAACAACATCTTCCCTTGCAGAGCGTCGTCGTGTTTCAACCTGAGTTTTAAACTAAATGAGTCTGAGGGACACCGCAGTTCGGTACTAAATGATGTGGTGTGGCGGTAAAATTAACTAATTCTAATAAAATTAATTTATAATATTGGAATTAGTTTTACCGCCACACCACCCATTAAATAATGTACTGCAGTGTCCCTCAGGACTCATTTAGTTTAAAATTTGGGTTGAAACACGACGACTCCTTTCAAGGGAAGATGATGTTTAATAATATGGGCGTAAGTGTTAAAACCTTTTCTAGAGGCTTGCTGCCTTCGCCGTTTATGGTCGACATGAAATGAGAGCTTGGCTCTGACGAGCCGATGGCCGATGGTCAGTGTCGCAGTGTCTGAGCCATGCATGGCACGGGTGATGAGGATATCTCGGCATCTCTTTCTCTGACAATGATATAGTCAATGAGATGCAAGTGTTTGGATCGTGGGTGTTGCCACGAACCCTTGAACTTGCACAGCACACTAGCTGACAAGGAGTAGGCCTTTGGGATTACACTTGCCTAGTCTATTGCTCCTTATGGTTCCCTGCCAAATGTGAAGATCTCTGCCAAGTCTCGCATTGAAGTCACCAAGGAGCACAACCTTATCTTCTCTGGGAATAGAGGTTAGCACTCTGTCGAGGTCGGCATAAAGGCCTCCTTGATATCATCCTCTGCATCCAGTGTTGGGGCGTATGCACTGATGAAAAAGGCATGACGTGAGTGATTCAGTGGGACTCGAAGCGTCATGAGGCGCTCGTCGATCCTAATAGGCATTTCAATTAGCCTGTGTAGGATGCGTTGGCGGATGGCAAAGGCAAATCTATAATTGCGGTTTTTCTCTGCAGCAGACTTACCCTTCCAGAAGAAGGTATAGCCAGACCCCCGTTCTGTGAGTTGACCCTCGTCTGGGAGCTGGGACTCACTAATGGCTGCTATGTTGATGTTATTTCTAGCCAGCTTTTTTGTCACAAGAGCAGTTTTTCTTTCAGGACGCTCATTTGTGCCAGTATCCAGAAGGGTCCTGACATTCCATGCAGCGACCATAAGAGGTTGTATAGTTTGTTTTTGTTTGGGTATGTGATTTTGATTGTGTTTTCTACCACACACACGTACACACACACACATATACACACACACACATATACACACACATATGTACACGTATATACACACACAGACACACATACACACACGCACGCGCGCGGGGAACGCATTTATAAAGAATGTTTGTACGCACCTTGTCCATGGTAATTAAGTGACACTTTTCCGTGGTCACTAAGTGGCACGAATGTTGTCCGTGAATACTACGTGACACGCACCTTTTCCATCTTTATTAAGTGACACGCTCCTTTCCCATCCTTATTAAGTGACACGCACCTTTCCCATCCTTATTAAGTGACACGCACCTTTCCCATCTTTATTAAGTGACACGCACCTTTCCCATCCTTATTAAGTGACACGCACCTTTCCCATCCTTATTAAGTGACACGCACCTTTCCCATCTTTATTAAGTGACACGCACCTTTCCCATCTTTATTAAGTGACACGCACCTTTCCCATCTTTATTAAGTGACACGCGCCTTGTTCGTATTTAGTAACAAATGATCCGACCCTTATTGTGGGTTCCTAAGAACAACGACCCTCATCTTTTCCATGGTTACCGAGGAGTGACACGCATATATTTCGTGGTTATTAACGAGTGACACGCACATATTTCGTGGTTACTAAGGAGTGACACGCACATATTTCGTGGTTACTAAGGAGTGACACGCACACATTTCGTGGTTACTAAGGAGTGACACGCACCTTATCCGTGGCCGCGTATAGCATGGGAAGAAACACTCGTGACAAAAAATTCCAGTCAGACACGAATGTAATGTGCGTGTTATTATGGTAATGGACAAGGAAGATGAGATTACGGTACAGAGAACGGCTGACACGCACATAGACTTGTACACTGTGTGAATGTGTACACGGGTCAACAGTGAGTGGATTAACGGCTCGGCTTCAACACACACACACACACTTACACACACACACACACACACACACACACACACACACACACACTACAAATAATAACCATAATAACAACAGCTATCTGCCATATAACAGACCTCGCCATTAACTGTTACCATTACCACCATTAGGCTCCTCTAGAAACATTACATTAATGGTGCAGAATATATATCTTTGTAAAGGTCAACTGTAACGTTAATGCTGCTGTAATTATTATGGTTAAGTTCTAACATTACATTAATGCTACAGAAATTACCATTGTTCAGTAAGGTATTACAAATAATGTTCAGTAATTAACTTAGTTGTGTTGAAACATTATATTAAAGTATAGTTACAAGTACAGGATATATAATATAGTGTGTGTGTGTGTGTTAGTCTGTAAAGGAGAAGTGAACAGGGAGATTATGTATGGTATATACTGTATGAATTAATATAGGCTTGGCGGAATTGCTAGTGTCTGTGGAGAGAGAGAGAGAGAGAGATGTTTGTGTTCACGCAACCTAACCTAACCTAACCTAAGCTAACATAACCTGATGGCGCTAAAAAAGAACATCGTATTAGTTATTCATGGATGAACGAGTTAATTATCTTACAAATTGCTTATTAAGCTTTTGTGGTTACGAAGATTTTTTTTTTTATTCCGTGTGACAAAAACAGCGAGGGACACTAAAGCCTATTTGTCAATCTCTCTCTCTCCCCCATCAGCTGATTATGAAATTATGGTTACAATAGACCTCGCAATGTTTTTATCTATCAGCCGATTGTGAGATGAAGTCACTAGTAAATACTATACAGAGTAAACACGATGTACAGTAATGTTATCCCCACCAGCTGATAGTAAGGAAAAAATTACGTCACGAGAAAACAGACGAGGCAATGTTTATATCCATCAGCTGATTGTGAGATTATGACGTCACGAGCATATACACGATATAATGTTTTCTCCCACCAGCTGATTATAAGGATGACAGCATAAATAAATATATGACGCGGTGTTTTCATCATCAGCTGATTGTGAGGAGGTGGTAATATTTACCTTGGGAGTCAATTAGGGTTTGTTTACGACGTATTAAACCCGACGCTATAATGAGGCGAAGGTAAGTGATAAAAAGGAAAACATGAGAATTGGAAAACTGACAATTTAAGCAGCTTTAGTAGAAGGGTGAAGAGGTGGAGAGAGAAAAATGGGATTAAGGCCACACGAATGAAGAGAGAGAAATGAATACGGCGCAAGAAGGGGTGACAATGACAGCCATGGGATAAAGACATCAAAATAATCGTACAAGTCATCTCTCGCCTCTGTATTGATTCCGAAATTCAGCTTCAGTTTACCGTGTGTGACAAGTTAAGTCTTGGCTTTTATATGGGGGAGGGTATTGGCTACATCTCTCCGCGCTAGAAATTGACTATTGTTCTCTCTCTCTCTCGCTAGAAATTGGGTATTGTTCTCTCTCTCTAGAAATTGGATATTGTTCTCTCTCTCTCCCTGGAAATTGGGTATTGTTCTCTCCCTCGCTGGAAATTGGGAATTGTTCTCTCTCTTGCTAGAAACCGGGTCGTTCTCTCCTTCGTACCTCTTCCTTTCATCCGTAGAAAGTTTCCCTTTCACTTCTTCCTCCCATCAGGAGAATCTTTCCTTCTCTTTCCTTCCTCCCCCCTTCCATTCCCCCCTCCTCCCTCGGTAGGAGTTTACCTTTTCCTCACCTGGGCAGAAATTTACCAGTTTCCCTCCCCTTCCCTACTCATTCCCCTCTGTTACATTCATTTCCTTTCCTTTTTTCCCTTGTTCTTTTTTCCTTTCCCTTGTTCTTATTTCCTTTATCTTACTTGTTCCCTTCCCCTCGTTTCCTTTCCTATCCCTTACCATCCCATCCCCTTGCCATGCTAAGACCTTACCTCTTTCTCTCATAGGCAGAAGCTTTTACCAATTCCCTTCCCACCCTCCTTCTCCTCCCATCCCATCCCTCTCCTCCCATCCCATCTCCCTCCTCCCATCCCCATCCCCATCCCCCATCCCCTCCCCTCCATCCCATCCCTCCCATCCATCCATCCCATCATCCCATCCCCCCTCCCCTCCTCTCCCCATGACGTGTCCCTGG